TAGTATTTTCAATATATCCTCCCATTCCTTTCTGGCTTTTAGGGTTTGTGATGAAAAGTCTGATGTTAGCCTGATTGGGGCTCCCTTATAGGTAATTTGACGCTTCTCTCTTGCAGCTCTCAAGATTCTCTCTTTGTCTCTGAGTCTTGCCAGTTTGACTATAACATGTCTTGGAGAAGATCTTTTTGGGTTGAATACATTTGGAGATCGTTGAGCTTCCTGGATCTGAAGATCTGTGATTTTCCTATACCTGGGAAGTTTTCCGCCAGTATTTTGTTGAATATGTTTTCAATGCAATCTCCTTTTTCCTCCCCTTCTGGGATACCCATGACTCGGATATTCAAGCGCTTAAGGTTGTCTGATATCTCTCTCAGATTTTCTTCAATGCCTTTTATTCTTTTTTTTTCTCTGCTTGTGTTATTTCTAACAGCCCATCTTCAAGTTCAGAGGTTCTCTCTTCAACTTCGACAAGCCTGCTGGTTAAACTCCCTGTTGTGTTTTTTATTTCGCTGAATAGCTTCTTCAGTTCGGCAAGTTCTGCTATATTTTTTTTCAGGGCATTGATTTCCTTGTACATTTCCTCTTTCAGGTCCTGTATACTTTTTCTCGTTTCATCATGATGTCTAGCTGAGTTTTCTTGTATCTCATTCAGTTTCCTTAGAATTATCACGCGAAATTCCTTGTCAGTCATTTCAAGGGCTTCTTGTTCTATAAAATCCAAAGCTTGAGATTTATTATCTTTGGGTGGTGTACTTTCTTGATTTTTCGTGTTTCTGGTGTCTTTTCTTTGATGTTTATTCATTGTGGCAGGGGGTTTCACAGTCCACAGGTTTGACACTGTTGCCTGACTAAGATTTAGCTGGGGTTGCCAACTTGGTATGGCTACCTCAGTGCCTACTCAGTTGGACGCTAGTGTCAGGCAAGTCCAAAATTGACTACCGGGAAGATGGCGGGGCATTTGCGCCGCTCCCTCCGATGAGTCTCAGCTCCCGTGTTGTGCTCCCACGTTGCGCTCCTGCGGCGCTCCCTTGTTGCGCTCCCGCGGCAGCCTCCGCTGCCAGAGCCGCCCCGGCCACCTCTCGCCACCCCTGGTGCTCCCGGCTCCTGGTTGCGCCGCAGCCTGCTCAGACACTCTTCGGCTCGCGGTTCCAGCGGTGCCCGGGGCTGGGGAGGCGACAGCCCCCTCCCCGGCAGATACCGCAGTCCCCAGACCCCGAGTCCCGGCAGCGGGGCTGTGCGGCCTGGCCCGTTGCTGAGGGCAGCAGCTGCGAGGTCAGGCGCCAAGTGGCAGCCACTCCCGGTGGCTTCTTCCCGGGAGGATATTGTAAATTTCACAAAATGGCGCGCAATCCAAACCTCAGTGCACGTATTATGAGAGTCCCCTTCAAGGTCTCAGCAATCCTTCAGAGCAGTCCACCTGGGTAGTAACAGCTACCCCCAGCACAAGCAAGGATACCAGAGATTCTGACTCACCATCAGGCTTTCTGAGTTCCTCTTCTTGCTGGTGGCCTCTGGGATCCTGCTGGCACGGGGCGCAGGCGGCTCACTCCCTTCCCACCGCCATGTTCGAGTTGAACTAATTTAGAATCAAGTTCTATATAGACAAAGACTTATTCATTTTTTGTTGCTCTTGGAAATGCAAATAGCACTCTGGCAGCACAGCGCACACCTCCCAGGCTCACGCTGTCTTCAGGCGCCCCCACTCCAGGCCCGTCGCCATCTTGGTCTTGACCCCCATGGTGGAGCTTCTGCAACCGGCTTTTGTTCTCCAGGAAGTACAAGCCCCGCCTTCTTCAAGGACACAGAATCCAACCACAGAATCTCGTCAGCACCATGGAGGTGGCAGCAGCCTCTGGCAAAGTTTTTATTTTTTTAGAAAGTTGACCTTAATTCCTTCAAAAGCAGTAGATGATTAATTTATGTTATTGGGCGGTGGTTCTCAATGAGGATTTACTGGTATATTGAGTGGCAAAAATCTTTATAGTATAGAAGTGTCCCTCTATTTCAGGAAGCTTACATCCCTGTCCCCCACCCATTGCATGCTAATAACACTCTTCAATCTTTGTGACAACCAAAAAAATTGCCTCTATAACTCATCCCCAAAATGTGGGGGAGGGAGATGATTAGATTGTACTAGTTGAGAATTACTTCTGTAGGATAAGCTTTACACTTGTTAATCATTGTGATATTTTTGTCCTATCGTACCTGATTAAAGTTGTTTCCTTGTACAGTAAAGAAGCAATTCTTTCTCGTCTTTTTTGCTGTTTTGAGAAAATCAGTCAATTTAAAAGAAAATCCCATCACTTTACATGGATACATCCTTGTAACGTGTATTTATGGCTATATATAACATGTTCAAAGAACCTGAATTTACAAATGGCTCGGTGACAAAAAGTCATAGATGCTAATGACTACTGCAGTTATCAAGGGCAAAAGTAACCCCAAATTAGGTGCAATTAGATTACTTTGGTTACTACTTAAAACAGTAACCAACATCAGTTTGGACATTGGTGAAACTGGGGAAAAAAAATAACAGAATATAATCTTTTATTTTCTTCTTCTCTGTTGAGAAGGAAAATCTTTACCCATTGTTTTGTGTTGTTGCATCCAGGGATAGGTATTTTTTCTGATCTGTGTTTTTTTTTCTTTGTTTTTGATTCTCTGCATGTCATCATCTGAACTTGACACTACCAACTGCTGCATCCCTGCCCCTTGGTATTCTTTTTTTTGACTTTCTTTCCATGAATAGTTCACTGTTACCTATTCTTCATTGCTCTTGTTTGGCATTCATATATTGGGAACTAAGCAGTATTCTAGATTGAAGGAGAATAGGATTAAGTTTATTGTATAAGGGGGGAAAAATCTGGTTATCAACTTCATAGACTTTAGGATATTAGATAACCTCATGTAATATCCCTAGAACATGGTAAAAGACCACATGCAGGTACTGAGCATTTAGCACATGTTTACTTAGTACTGGAATGTAGTCATTTCAGGAATAATTTAGATTTTGTATGTGAATATGTCTAGAGTAGATAGGTGTTTTTTCTTTCGACTAAGGCACAAATAAGAATTTCTTCTTTTGTTATCAGTATTGGAATTTATATTTTACTATTTGCTTTTTTGTTTTCTTACTTGTACCAGCTGACAGTGTGGTTATTTATATTGATAGAAATGACATTCACTAACTGACGTACTTTCTTCATATTTGGACTCCTACGTCTATTAGCTCTTATTGTAAAAAGAGTTATGATGGATACTTCAAGTAGGGTATTTACTCCAGAGCTGCCTATGGAAATTCATGATTTCATATCTATTTTTCAAAATTAAGTGTAAAACACTTAATTTCCTCCATCTAAAAAATAATTCAAAGACATAGTGGTAGGTATGTGATCATTTGTAATGTTATAAATATTTGTTATATTTTAATGAACTTTGTTTAAAAAGTTTTTGAAAATGCTTTTGTTTTATTACAGTATAAAATTAATGGGCCGGCCCGGTGGCGCACTGCTACAGTGCGCCGCTTGGGAGCGCGGCGGCACTCCCGCTGAGGGTTCGGATCCCACATACAGACCGGTTCCCGCTCGCTGGCTGAGCGAGGTGCGGGTGTAGCACCGAGGGTTGCGATCCCGTTGCCGGTCCCGGTCCGGTGCGGGCGCGACACTGAGGGTTGCGATCCGTTGCCGGACACGAAAAAAAAAAAAAGACAAAAAAAAAATTAATAATAATTATTAGAAATATTAAGTTACGGGCTGGCCCGGTGGCGCACTCGGTAGAATGCGGCACTTGGGAGCGTGGTGGTGCTCCCGCCGTGGGTTCGGATCCCATATAGAGACCGGTCCGCTCACTCGTTGAGTGCGGTGCAGGCGCGACACCGAGGGTTGCGATCCCATTACCAGTCACGAAAAAAGACAAAACGGAAAAAAAAAAAAGAAGAAGTATTAAGTTAGTAGAGAGCTAAGGTTTTCTTCATTTAAATTAGCAAGAATTCCTAAACATTGTTGACTTTCACTTTCTTTTTTTGGCAGGCGGCCAGTATAGGGATTGAACCCTGGCCTTTGGTGTTATTAGCACCATGCTCTAACCAACTGAGCTAACCAGCCAGCCCTGACTTTTACTTTCATAAGGTTAAATCAGATTGCACAGTTGAAAGAAAAAAAAATGCTAGGTGTTTACATACAAAATTAAATTTTCCTTAAATTATAAAATATTCACTTGGTGTGTAGTGGATGTAGATTCAGTTTGTACTTATTATATAAAGTGCTGGTTTTTTTTTTTTTTTTTTTTTTTTTTTTTTTTTTCTGTGTCCGGCAATGGATTGCAACCCTCAGTGTTGCCCCCGCACCGGACCGGGGACCGGCAATGGGATCGCAACCCTCGGCGTTGCTCCCGCGCCTCGCTCAGCCAGTGAGCG